TATTGTCGTAGATGAATTTCGCTTAATTCACAAACTCGGAGTTGGTTGTCCCATGATCTTGATGCTCATACTAAATGCGCTTGTAAGTGTTCGTATAATTCTGTTGACTTTTTGCACTATATACTTGGCACAGTTCCAACAACATGTGTTGTATTTAAGCAACATTGGAGATCATTTTATGCAATGTATATCGCTGAGATCCATGCGATGCGTAGTAAACAATTGCCGTTTTGTAGCTTATGAATTCTTTTAAAGATCACTAAAGTGGAAATGATGTATCGACACCTCAATCGTGCCAATCCTGTTTGGACAAGTCTCATATGGAATCAAAGACTTCAACTGATCCATCGTCGCAAAGCATCGTCTGACAAAACTTTTGAGATGGATGCAAAAGGACCCGTTGATGATTGGAAAATGTCTACGCAGAAGAATCGTCTGATACATACAAAGTACATCGGTCAATGACTGTTGGGGCGTCATTCACATTATCTTCATTCCACCGAATAAAGACTGCTGTTTAGTTGGCTCCCCTTGCTTCAGTTTGGCACGGGTTGAGGGCTCTGCTGTTGAGTTGGTTAGTGCTGGTGGTGAGCTGTCTAGTGCGGAGAGGGGTTTCGTGGTGGTAGGTTTTATGCATCTGCAGTGTGATTAAGGGCTCGGGAGGTATGCCGGTTGACGAGTAGTTACAGCACAAGAACATTTTTTATAGGACAAAAACACTAATAGCACAAATATTAAACCATTATAACTTTGTAGACGTCTAAATTGATGACCTTTTAATAAACTTTGTTTTAACCAGCCTCTCGTTCGTTCCCCTTTCGAAAAGCTAGGGAAATGGGGTCAGTACTGATGTTTGGGTTATGCCAGTCTGTTGTTGAAAGTATTTTTTGCTAGGTTTTGGGATAATTAGTTATTACCAAAATGGCAATTGAATCATACTTATTAATTCGACGCTTAGCATCAAGTGAGGGCATCGTTTTATTAAAATTTTTTAGGATAGCTTTATTATCACATTTGCACTGATGTAGTTCATCGTCACGTCATCGTATGTGGCTTATCTTAGGGCAGCTTTAACTGCTTTACCATGATACTTTCGAATTTGTAGCATATTTTAACTCAATAGTGTAATTGTTTAGTATATCGCTTGTAGTCTTGCGCCCTCCAGATTGGGTTCTTGTGTTAAGTCGGACGACGGAACAAACTTAAAGATTTTCGAGTCGAGAAAATCCTGGAATCACATAGCTTACTTACTTTCCATTGAAGGGAACAACCCATCTTTACCTGCCAGGCTCATGTGTTTACAATAAATCCCTCAACTCGGAGGTCATGGGTTCAGGCGAGCTCCAGGGCGATTGATATCAATATTTTTTTCGATTCCACCAAACAATGCTATCGCATTGTTAGTGTTGAAGATGGGCCAACTGGTATGAAGGTGTGTTTGGTTATTTGTTAATTCAGTTCCTAAGCCTTTGTTCGAAGCTCCTATTTTCATGGTTTAAGAATATTAGGATTTCAAGCTGGAGCTTGTTCTTACTCCGAAATTTCCTCATATTTACTAATTTTATTGTTTTTACATGCTACAAATAG